ATTCACAGTGGAAGGAGGTTAACAGTTGTACCTGTCTAGAAACAAATATCTGTGTCTCAGTGCACTTGTAGAATAGCATGTAATTATGCAATGCTTAACACCATATCATAGTTAACAGAACAATCTCAAAGTTTTTCAGAGAACACCAAATTTTCTGCCTAATACCAGAAAAATATTTTATTAACATCTGGTCATCTTATGATAGCGGTTTTCTAGAAGGAAATGCTTATAATTCACAACCCATTCGAGGACTTGCTGACTACCTGAAATTTGACAGAAAACAAACTGCAAGTCCAACTTGATAACTCCTATGTAAATCTTTATTACTGAAATTATATTTAATGTTGAATAAAAGACTGAAACCTGAAATTTTCTGAGAATAAAAAGAACAGCAAACTAAGAAAAGATTATAAAATATTTTAAGAGAAAGCAAAGGGGTAGCTATTAAATAGGAGTAAATATATTTGACATTATCTTTCAGAAGTAACCAGTTAAAGCCTAATCCAAGGATAGGGGTGTAGCTCAGTGGAGAGTGCCTAGCATGTGTGAGACCCTGGGTTTCATTTCTAGCACAGATAAATAAATAAATAAATAAATAAATAAAATCTAATTCCTTCTTAGAGTTACTGAGAATCAGAAGTTATCCTTGGGTTCTCAAACCATTCAAGGCATAGAATGATACTCCACGGTGAAAGCCATCATGACCATTAAAATTGTCATATATTATAGTAGACACCTCATTAAATTCCTGTGAATTCCTTTTCCTTGACAGGATACTGATGGCTTGTAATATATTATCATTTAGTAGTCCTCCTAGATCGCAAACTTGGTGTGAGTTATCCAGGAGAGGACTAAGAAACCTATAGAGGAAAGGGGGAAAAGAGGTACATTTCTTCAAGATTACAAATTTCCATGATTGTGGGTTTTTCTTTTTTAAAGCAGGACAAGCTCATTTTCATATTTAAGACCCACTGATACCAGCTATTCATGAAAAAAAAATCAAGTTGCAGTGTCAGCTCCGAGATATAAGTTGTATTTTTCATATAAAAGAAAAGAAAGATGCCAACACATAGTGCATTTCTGGACCATGTCCACATGGTCTTTATGCACTATGACCTGCATGAGAGTCTCTGGATTTTCTATGTACTTGTTCCTTTGCAGAAAGAAGAATGTTAGATGGGAATTGTTTTTTAAGATGCATTGGGCCCTGTCATTAATGAACTACCCCGAAATTTTATTAAGAATAAAAGAAAATTGAAAATAAATAACTAAATTAAGAAATAGTGAATAAAAAATTTAATGTTGTTGTTCTGTATTAAAAAATGTGCAATATTCTAAAAATTTTACCATCTTCTATGAGGTCTTTTTTCTCCAGTAGAAATTTTATGTAAAAGAATGATATTATCTTTACATGAACCAAACTGTATTTCCTTCCTTTTTTTGATAATATTCAGCATAGCCACATCAATGGATTCTTTTGCTATGTTTTTATTTTTCTCTCAATTCAGTTTTCTAAAGTTTATAGAACAACAACTTTAGAAAGTGTTTTTATATTTCCTTGGATGTTTGCCATAAACAAAACTCTCTATCTCATTGTATATAAGTTCTCACTTTTATAGAATAATTTCTGTAGCTTTAGTGATTCTAAATAGTTTTAGAACTTATTAGTTCAGTTATTAAGGTAAATTGGTTGAATAAAATCCATAACATTTTAGATATAATTCTAATCTTCAGACAGCAAATGTGTAAATAGTGTTCATATATATTTTGGAATCGTTGTCAGCAAAATTCTTTTAAATGTAATTCTTTAAAGGATTATTAAAGGAGAATGTAAATGGATTTAAATCCTAAAATAGCACAAAGGAATAATAGCTTTAAAGTATATTTATGAAAAAATTATGCATAATATAAAAGTATTATCTTTCTTAAAAATATAAAAATGCTAGTCCTGAAAAATATGCATCAAAATCCTGGATAGGATTCTACCAACTTGTGACTCTTTATGGGACACTGAAGGAATAAGTTAAGTGGGCATGATTCTTAGCCTTTGAGAAAGTTATATATAGTGTAGGCCAAGTAGATTATTCGTTGATATAGTTAATGTATAATTTTTGTGTGCTAAAATTTCCATCCATTGTATTTTTAATTACTGTGTGTCAAGAGGTGCCATCAAGTAGATAATGGTAATCATTTTAATGAGGGAAAGAAGAAAACCACAGATTATTCTTGTGCTCAGGGAGAAAAAGTAAAGAGTAGGATTAACACAATAGTAATTACCTGAGCAGATGGATTTCTAATCCTAGAAATAAACATGCTAATTAAGCTGCACTACAGAATGACAAGATCCTGAGTCTGAGAGATTGTTTTTCTAATTTACTAGTGAAATTTAATTCTCATTATATTAAAAAGTACTTAATCAACCACATCTTTTTTAATTAACAATTTTATTTAGGCAGTTTTAATGTTTCTGTGAATTTCTTCCATGGGTGTGAGTTTCACAGGGCACATTCCCTCATCAGTGGATCCATGGTTTGTTGAGCAGGACTGAGCAGGACTTCTAGAGCAGGACTGAGTTCTGTTGAATCTTTAACAAGATGCTTGCCTGTGTGTTGTCAGTAGGGGTTTAACTGGGAACCATCATTATGGGGCTTTTATAACTACCCTAGGTTGACAGAGCAATAGTAACAAAAACAGCATGGTACTGGTACCAAAACAGGCGGGTGGACCAATGGTACAGAATAGAGGACACAGAGACCAATCCACAAAATTACACCTATCTTATTTTTGACAAAGCGGCTAAAAGCATGCAATGGAGAAAGGATAGCATCTTCAACAAATGGTGCTTGGAAAACTGGAAATCCATATGCAGCAAAATGAATCTGAATCCCTTTCTCTCGCCATGCACAAAAGTTAACTCAAAATGGATCAAGGAGCTTGATATCAAAACAGAGACTCTGCGTCTGATAGAAGAAAAAGTTGGCTCCAATCTACATACTGTGGGGTCGGGCTCCAAATTCCTTAATAGGACACCCATAGCACAAGAGTTAATAACTAGAATCAACAAATGGGACTTACTCAAACTAAAAAGTTTTTTTTCTCAGCAAGAGAAACAATAAGAGAGGTAAATAGGGAGCCTACATCCTGGGAACAAATTTTTACTCCTCACACTTCAGATAGAGCCCCAATATCCAGAGTATACAAAGAACTCAAAAAATTAAACAATAAGAAAACAAATAACCCAATCAATAAATGGGCCGAGGACCTGAACAGACACTTCTCAGAAGAGGACACACAAACAATCAACAAGTACATGAAAAAATGCTCACCATCTCTAGCAGTCAGAGAAATGCAAATCAAAACCACCCTAAGATACCATCTCACTCCAGTAAGATTGGCAGCCATTATGAAGTCAAACAACAACAAGTGCTGGCGAGGATGTGGGGAAAAGGGTACACTTGTACATTGCTGGTGGGACTGCAAATTGGTGCAGCCAATTTGGAAAGCAGTATGGAGATTTCTTGGAAAGCTGGGAATGGAGCCACCATTTGACCCAGCTATTCCCCTTCTCAGACTATTCCCCAAAGACCTTAAAAGAGCGTACTATAAGGATACAGCTACATCAATGTTCATAGCAGCACAATTCACAATAGCTAGACTGTGGAACCAACCTAGATGCCCTTCAATAGATGAATGGATTAAAAAAAATGTGGCATTTATACACAATGGAGTATTACTCAGCACTAAAAAATAACAAAATCATGGCATTTGCAGGGAAATGGATGGCACTAGAGCAGATTATGCTAAGTGAAGCTAGCCAATCCCTAAAAACAAATGCCAAATGTCTTCTTTGATATAAGGAGAGCAACTAAGAACAGAGCAGGGAGGAAGAGCATGAGAAGAAGATCACCATTAAACAGGGACGAGAGGTGGGTGGGAAAGGGAGAGAGAAGGGAAATTGCATGGAAATGGAAGGAGACCCTCATCATTATACAAAATTACATATAAGAGGAAGTGAGGGGAAAGGGGAAAAAAACAAGGGAGAGAAATGAATTACAGTAGATGGGGTAGAGAGAGAAGATGGGAGGGGAGGGGAGGGGAGGGGGGATAATAGAGGATAGGAAAGGCAGCAGAATACAACAGTCACTAGTATGGCAATATGTAAAAACTGGATGTGTAACCGATGTGATTCTGTCATCTGTATACGGGAAAAAATGGGAGTTCATAACCCACTTGAATCAAATGTATGAAATATGATATGTCAAGAGCTATGTAATGTTTTGAACAACTAATAATAATAAAAAAATGAAAAAAATGTTTATTCATAATTGAAATTCACAGTCTCTTGATTGATCCAGGTGAGTTACACATTTTGATACCTCTACAACCAAATATTTCGGAATAATTACCAGGAAGAATGGAACTAATGGATGGGACACAAAAGATCATGTGAGTGAATAATGTGAGAAAGAAGCAAAAGAGACAGTATCATTATTTTTATACTTACAGGTTCCCAATAAGTTCAAATTTCTAAATCAGTAACTGATCAATACAACATAGCTTTTGGAAGGTCATCTGAAATATATAAAATTATCCACAGCACTGCTTAGTAGGTGAATGGATGTCTTCATGAAGGAAATGGATTTTTAGCGTAAAATTTTCTTATCAGGGAGAAAATTCTAAAATATGGTCTAGTTTAGTTTTTAATTTGTTTCCTAAAATTTGTGAGTATGAACGTGTGGGACTGTAACTTTCCTGTCCCTTTTTGTATGTTCATACTATTATATTAGCAGATCATTTTAGCTATATTGAAAGTAGTAAATATTTAAGACAATTATATAAAGTAACTCACCTTGTTTTAAATTCAAATAAATAAGTACTTACTGCATGACAATAATAGAAGAACTATCAAACTGGTAATACAGAACTATACAAACTCAAAAAAAATATATAATCCAAACCACTTATATCCTTGCTACTCAAGGTGTGGTCCATAGACCTAACGCACTAGCATTTCCTGAGAACTGTTAGAAGTACATAATCTTGGACTCCATCATCCTCCCTTCTGAACCAAAATCTGCACTGTAACAAGATCCCCAGACAAATCAAATTCACATTAGATTTTGAGAAGCCCTATGTTAGAAGACTACAGTCTAAAGAAAGAAATAGATACAGATGTTAAAACAAAAACTAGTAATTTCATAAGAAATGCTCTAACCTAGAATAAATAATGTGGGACAATAATAGAATCTAATTCTGGTTGCAGAGATTGGCAGCAGTTTTGAATCTGCCCATTTCTGGGTTACATTTTTCATACTATTTACCAATATTTTCTAAAATGTGTCCCTAATCAAATACATTGGAGAAGCATAATGTGTATTATACTTTAATTTTTCTAAATAAGTAATCAATTGAAACAACATAGTTTGGGGAAGGTTACAAGGAAAACGGAATATTAGCATGACATTTCTTAGTGGGTAAATGAATGTCTTTGTCAAAAAAAAAATGGATGACTTGTTCACAATAGTATGTCAAAGATTCCTGAAAAGTGCTGAAATAAATGAGTTTTGTTGTACTTAAACCCAGGATTCCACAAATGCACTTAAACATAAAACTTTCCCCCATTGTATAGCAGTATGAACATTCTCCAGAACCAATGTTCTGTGGAACACACTTTGGGAAACACTGCGTTTTATAAGTTTGCAACACTCTGCTCTTAAATTGTTGACTAGAATTGTTCTGCTCTCCATTTATCTCTCTTTTATTGTTATAAAGTATACTAAACAAATTCAACCTTGAACATAAACAAAAAGTAAAATTTAACTCTGATGTAATATATGTTACAGGATAGAAATTCTGAGGCAAATTAATCCATCTGTACTGCTAAAAATTACCCAGATCTGGATATATAAAGTTGTCTTTAAATAAACAGTATGCTAAAGTCTGGCCTCCACATATCATTGAAATTAAGCCGGCTCCTGCAAATAAATGAAAGGAAAGTTTTGGTTAACTACCAGTAATGAATAATTCATAGGTAGGCTTATGAATAAGAACAATTGCCATGACTTAAATAATGTTTCTGTAACTGGCATCGTATTTGAAATAGAACAGTTTATAGATTCACCTAAGAGAGGGGAGGTATATATTCTAAAGCTGATAAACTGTTAAAATTTAGAACTTCCTTCAGAGAGTATGTGCAGATCAATAGAAAGGAGCTCTTAAAACTCAGATATTCAAAGACAATGAAGTCGAAGCACATGCCAAGGAATTCACAATTCCCAATACTTTCTGTGCTTAAACGTTCCATTTATTTGTATTGTTACTGTGTGTGTGTGTGTGTGTGTGTATGAATGTGTACACACACAAGCTAAGGTCTTTTCTCCTCTAATTATAAAAGAAAAAATGCTTGCTGACTTTTAAGTATAGAAAAGATTTTAAGGACCAGAATTCTACATACCTGAGTTATCTAGTTTTATGAAAATGCTTTAGTTCTGGTTTCATTGGCCCAGTGATTCTTATTTGTTTTAAAATATTGATTTGACCAATATTGATCCAATTAAAGAGCTTTCATAAATCTGTTGTTCCTTGTGTGGCAGTAACAACATAATGCCCTTGAAAGGTAAAGCTCTCTGAGGTAAGAACACTGACAGGATTGCTAACTTCCTCTCAGAAAGAACCACGTCCAATGGAAGACCACGAGACATCATTTTGAAGATGGCTAACCGTTGGTCTCTTACATCTAATATTTGTGCTCAAAAAAACAAAAACAAAAACAAGGCTATGTCAGATGCCATTTGGTAACTGCACTCTGAGTAATTCAACCCCAGTTACTAAAACTAAAATAGTCACCCCATTAAATCCTCTTGGCCATTCTATCATGCCTATGTTAACTCTCCTTTCTGTCCAGGTGGCCTGTGTCATGTGACTACTTCGACTAGGGCACAGTAAATTCTGTAGTATTCCCAATGAAATCCAAAGAGACAGGTTCTTATTTTTCAGAGAGAAAAGATCATATCTTCTTACAGTTTTTAGTATTTCTTTTTAAAAATTTTTTGTTTATTTTAATTAGGTATATATGACAACAGCATGCGTTTTGATTAATTGCACACAAAGTTCTTAGTATTTCTTTTAAAATCTTTCCCCAGTATATTAAAAATTTACATCTTTGCAGGACTCACACCAAAAAAAAAAAAATCAGTATTTTCTACATGTGTTTTCTGGATGTGCTGAACAAAGCTGGAGAAAAGTTCACATCCAAGACTTATGGGAAGTAGAGAATTAAACAGTACGTGAAGGCACATATGGTAATAGAAATTACAGTGGACTAAATAAGAAGCTTTCACTTGGTTAATTTTCCTACTAAATATACAATTGATGAATTCGTTTCAATCTGTGAGAAGAAAAAATAACGGAAATATCTTCACTGCTTCTTGTACTGCTCTAAAGACAACAGCGCCAAGCATGAAGAAAAGAGAATGTATCACAAATACATGTCCAGTGTTTTACTCCCTGTAATTTTAGAATGGTAGTCTTTGCATATTCTTCTGGTTTAACTATCTGGCCCACATAAAAGTATTTTTTATAGTACCACTTTCTATGTATATGCTTATATTTACATTATATAAATATTTTATGATATATAAATAACATAATGATATACTATGTAATATTTGCATAAATATAAAATGACCTATGACAGGTAATATTGTTTGGATTTTGCGGAAATTTATTTTAGTTTTTTAAATTTTGTTTTCATTTTGAACCCTCTCAGGGTGAAGATTAAGCAGACTCTCTTGGTAGTCCACTGGAGTGTGTTCTCTGTCAGGAGCCCAAATATACTTACTGCATTCCAGGAAAACCTCAGCTACTTCATTTCATTCCATTTAATTCTCCCCATGCTGACACAACAAATGCTTACTGACACTCTACTACATGCTACTCTGTGCCATGCTTGGGGGCTGAATTTTTATTATGAGCATTTTAGCTTTTTCAATTTTGTTTTAAATATTGGAAATGAAACATCAGCCATTCTATAATTTACTTTTCCAGAAGGTAAGCAGCATTGTGCTATTTCCAACTGAGTTTAGACACAAACACTTTGATCTTGTGTGTGTGTGTGTGTGTGTGTGTGTGTGTGTGTTCTTTCTATGTTATGTCTTATATGTTTACTCTGTTTGATGTGAAAATGTCATAGAACTGGGAAGTCTTTTCAGAGCATGTGATTCTACTTGATCAGTCTATATTCTCTTCAGTTTCCTTTGCCTAAATGATAACTATCTCCACAAAATTTTGTGAGCTCTGTTCTTTACCTGGTATATTTTCTAAATGAGAGAATTTACTGCAACAATCACATCTTTGCAGTAAGAGCTCCAGGATTTCTACTTAGGAGTAGAAATTGCTCTGGGTAGCAGTCTAAGTCAGAAGAAAAGGCTAGTTACAGGACCCACCTTAGCTACAGGAACTCTGCTAAATCATCCAATTCAATAAACTTTTGTTTCCACATTTATAGAATTAGAATATAATAGGTATCACACAAAATTGTAATAAAGGTTAGTGAGATAAATTCAATGTCCCTGGCTTGTATTAACTGATTGATAAATGTATTATTAATATTGTATGGGCCATTAAAATTGAGTGGCAAAGCCAGGCATGGTGCCGAAAGCTGTAATCTAAACTATTTGGGAGGCTGAATAAGGAGGATGGCAAGTAAGAGACCAATCTTGGCAACTTAGAGAGAACTCAACTCAAAAAAGAGCCAGAGGTGTAGCTCAGTGAGTGGTAAAAGCAACCTTGAGTACTTGAGTAGTTCAGTCCTCAGCACCAAAACAAAACAAAAAAACCAAACACTTGAGAGGCAATACTAGAACATGCTTGGGTTTGTTTTCAAAACAGATTGAAGATATTAGACAAGATTATTGTTGCCAAATTAAGAAGAAAAAAATTTTAGAGATATTATATAATCTTTGTATTTGGAAGACAAATGCAACAGATTTATAAATAAATAGTTTCCAAACTTGGCAAGTATTGAAAACTCTTTAGAAGCATCCAGCTTTTCTTTATTAGCAGAAATAAATGGTAAAGTTGTAATGCTGATTTCCCTTCCTAAACTTCTAATTATTACATAATATAATTAAGGAAGAATACAAATAACATGATATTGTAACAATCTCATTTCCTTTATGTTTGCTGTTTCTTATCTTGATTTCCTATTTCATAAAAGAGTAGTCTAAGGAAAACAACATATAGATTGGATTATTTAAAACTAAGAATGAGCTGAATGTGGCTGGCTACTCTACTTCTAGGAAAGGATGATATTAGGATACAATAAAGGAGATTAAATGTAGATGCCTTCAAGAACTTCAAAATTTTAAGAAGTGAAAATACTATCAAGTCATAAAATGTATTGACTTTGCTTCAAATTAGGTATTATGTAAGAATTTTAAAAGTTCAGAATATTCTCTGTATTGTCCCTGAACCAGCAATGCTTGCATTACCTGGGCCCTATCCAGACTGATTGCATTTTAGTATGGTCCTCATGATCTGCACAGAGAAATTCTGCTCTAGGTCACAGTTCTAGGCCCTTTGTATTAATAGGGGGCAAAAAGGATCAGAGGCTAATTTGCTATTATATATTCTTATGTTCTTTTCCCCTTTATATATAAGCTATTTTCACACTTAAGTAAGTTTCAATACATTATCATTTTATTGTTCTCACTCTCTTCACTGTAATTTTGGCTTTAGAAAGAAGGCATCTTGGGTCTTGACTACTTCACTTGAATCATCCCATAGAAGGCAGTTCCCTCCCATGACGTATCCATCATGAGCCTCTTTGTCCCACTAAAAGTTCAAACTTTTGAGGATCCAAGAATGTTGTAAGAGGATTTATTTTGATAAGTTGTATCCAACAAGAAGTTAAAGGGAGCTGTGTCTCAGACAGAAGAATAAATGAAGGACATTCCCATGATGGAACATGAAGACCTACCTGCATTAAGTACGAAGCTCTGAGAACAAACAAGATGTCAGAGAAGGAAAAAGGCAGAACTGCATTAGGAAAGGCAGAGCGCTTTGTTCACCTGGGGCCTTTTGTGCACCGTGACTCATGCCACATCTGAGTCTACCCAACTGGCTCAGTAGTACAGTTGAGGCACCTGTGTGTACGTGTGTGTGTGTTGGTGGGGGGGATGACCAAAAGTCTGTGGATTCCAATAAAGGTGCAAAATATGTCCCTAAAACACTTTTTCAGAGGAAGTAGATCGATTCTGGTTTCCCTGCTTATAGTGGCTCAGTACTTACTACCTGCTGCAAAGGGAAAATAATGGGAAAAGAAAGGGAGAGAAAAATAGTGTAAGTCAGACTTGGAGGCAAGCTGAGGAAATCTACAGCTTAATGAAAATTTTGCCAGAGGTCTTTTGGGCTTTCATGCCCTTCCACTTTATATATTGCTCAATATATACAGTAAAATCCATGTCATTCCTTTATAAAGTCAAATTTATCTTAAGGAGAAGAAGAAATTTCTGTTTGGGGTACCAGAGATTAAACCCAGAGATGCTTCACCACTGAGACACACTGCCAGTGCTTCTTATTTTTTGAGACAGGGACTTGCTAAGTTGCTTAGGGCCTCACTAAGTTGCTGAGGCTGGCTCTGAACTTGTGATCCTCCTGCCTCAGCCTCCTGAGCTGCTAGGATTACAGGTGTGTACCACCCTGCTGGTCAAGCAAATTTCTTTTATTTCTATGTACTGATCTACTTTTGGTCTAAAATATATGTTAAGATGGCAACACCTCTGTTGTGGATTGTTTTAGGGTTGCCCAGACAGTATATTTGGGCCAAAGAGACAACCAGTAGAGTTCATCTTTAGTAAAACTGAGAGGGTTTTCATTGCCTTAAACATCATCATTGTCATTATTATCTTAGAAAGAGTATGATTATATATAATTAATTATAATGAATTACTTAGAAAGATTATGATTATATAATTAAATCTATGTCTAATTAATAAAATCTATTTCCTAAATTTACTCCAGTTAACATTATAGATTAAAGAATCTAAACTAGAATAATTCCAACATACCTAAAGCAGCCCACCAATGTGATGTTAAGGGGAATTCCAACATGACTGCAATAGAAAAAAAATAAAAATAAAAAGGTGTTACTCATTTTCAAAGTATGCCTTATTTTTTCCACTGGTGAAGAAATATGTATTTCTGTTCAGTCAAATCATACCCATATACCAAAGAAAGATTTTATACATATTTGTGAAATCAGGTCGTCCTGAATTTGTCTTTAAGCCATGGTCTAAAAGTTATTTGTTAGGTCAGATATTAGGAAGGCTTCTAAAAATGGTGCTCTGAATTGTCAGGGTCTCAGGTCAGCTCACAAAGTAGATTGAAGTAGCCTACAGCAGTCTTGTTCTTGTTCCAGGCATTGAATCCTCAATGCCTGGCTCCCTCTGGAATTCTGAACCACTTTACTCTGAACTCAGTTCTAACAAGCAATCAAGCAATTATTTGTTAAGTATTTTCTGCATGCCATGTGTTAGACTGTTAGCTAATAACTTCTGCATCCAAAACCTATGGCTTATTTAAACTTTGAGGAGTGGACTATCTTATGCTAGCCTGTGGCTGCCTTGCAGGAAAACTTGAGCCCTAAAGTAAAACAGAGAATCTGAGGTGTGTGGGGGGGGGATCAGTGATTCTTTGAATTACTGAGGGAGGGTTTGTGTCTGAGAAAATTGATGCTAGAGGATCAATATCTGGTATTCTCTAATAGCAGTGAAGCTGGGAAGTGGCAATTCATTTAGAAATTGTGTGCTTCTAAGGATACTAAAAATATGAGTGATTTAAATTGGTAATAACAATAATAAATGCCAAATTATAAATTGAGTTTGATCTCACCCACACTTTGACTAATATGCTTTTTCAAAAATAATAAATAAATAATGGAGGATGAAAAGGGAGAAAAAGTAGACTGGAAGAATAAATTTTGAATGATCAGATAAATAGATGGATAAACCTATCCTTTACTGAGTAACTGCTATACTAGATTCCATTTCAGACAATTTTATAAACTTAATGAAACTGCTCCAGGTCCCTCACTTTTGCAGTGGAAAGAACTGATGTAAGAGATGTGACATGTCAAAGAATACACTCCAAGTAACGGTAAAACGAATGCATTTTTTTTTCCTGACTCTAAAGATCATGGGTACAGAGGAAAAACTCCTTAGAACTGGTAGTCTTATTAAAATAACCGTTGTTGGCAAGTTCCCAGGCTTGCCAACAGTCAGGGTTCCTTTGAGTCCTAAGTCCCAGCCTTTGGTCAATTTTTACCTGAAGAAGGAATTGGGATGAAAAATATTCCTTACAGAGGAAAAACAGACCCTTTAATAGTGGGTGGCACTTTGGATATGGAAAGAGAACAGGAAACATTTCAGTAGGGTTCCCAATCAGAAAATGGAGCTGTCAAACCTCTCCAAGAGAAGTGGTAGAGGAACTTGGTTGGGGAGGAGGAGAAGCAGAGGAGGGAGGAACTTTAATCATCATAGGAATATATGCTCTTAGAACGAGATTTGGAGACAACATGAGATTTAGTACATTTTCTGTTTTCATTATTTTATTTTGCTTACCAGTTGAAGTGATAGCAACATGAAGAATAGTTACTGAAATAGCATAATCCCAAACCCACTCTTCCACAACCAGAGCAAAAAGCAATCCACAAACAAAGTAGGTGACCTCAGTTGAGAATAAAAGAACTGCAAATAAAAGGAAAAATATAACTATTTGGGATTAGAGCGATTAAGTGTTCTGAACTACAGCTGACAATGAGACCATGAAAATGCATTCTGCTTTTGGTAAGGACTTTTACAATGTTCCATCTCATAACCAATCCTCAAATATTGGTAGGAACTTCTAACATATTCTATCTGTTAATTAAATTTAGACTTGCAGAAAAATAGCTAATAATATAATTTCTGCTTCATATTCTTGGTACTTAGCATTTTAGAAGATAAAATAAAATAAAGTTACAATATAAGCTATACATGCTGATCTGTTATTGTATTGCAAATCGAATTTTTAAGAGACACTAAAATTAATAAAATCAATGAAATAAATTTGTTCTGAATTATTATAAACTCTCTATATATTATATATATTTAATTATATATACATTTAAATACACACACAAACACACACACACACACTCATACACTCATACACTAACCTTTCTTTGGTACCAAGCTGTGCTTAACTTAGAAATAAGTTCCTTTGTGTTTTTGTACTAATTTGATATGTTCAGATAGTCATCTGGGAAACATAACTGATCACCATGGATGAAAGAAAGCCTCATAAATGACAGGTGTGGGTGGAAGCACTTCTAAATTCACTGGTTGTCACAGAGTCATTTCCCTGAACATGTATAAAGAGATAGTTATTTACAGGTCAGGACCACAAATCTCTAAGAGCTCGGAACACGTGAAGGGTCAACCTTTTGCCTCTTGTCTTTTATATTGCTCTTTAAAACTACAGTCGTTTCAAAGGAGAAATACATCAAACTTTAAAGTGACAAACATATGTGATATACTACCAAAGTCCCTTTGTAAATAATACTACTTTCCATAAAAAAATTACTTTTCTTTCCTTTTAAAACATAGCCAATGATTGGTATGTTCATACAATTCAGGAACTAATAAATCTAGGCAGGCAAACTATATTTTTCAAAGCAGAAAATAAAATTATCACCTTATTTCCTATTGTGCAGAAGTAGTTTATTAACCAGCAAACCAGTGTTTGCCTAATGGGTAAGCAAGACATCAGGCAAGCAAGTCCCAGGTGACATCTTTTTAAAGGATCACCCTTGTCCCTCTTCAATTGTATTTAACTCAATAGGCTTCAAAGATTGAATGGAGAATTCATACTCATTCCTTTACTGTTGCATGGACATTCATTTGACCAATACTGATCAGTTCAGCATGTTATGCTCCATAAAATCAAAGAAGGAGCTCTCCTGCAGTATCACAGTGATATCACCTCACCTGTCACACTCTACTCCTTCCTTGAAACATAATTCATAGAGCCTCCACATCATTATGGAAAATAAATATACCTTTTCTATCAGCATTTAGGAATTTTTTAGGTTAACTAGGAGCTGCTTGGAGATAGTGATGTTAGCCTTGCACAAGCTGTATTTGCATATATTGATAGAGAATATGGATGTAGACTTCATTTATTATATAAAAGAAAGCCTGTTTTAAAGGACATTTAAAAATTTGAGATTAGGATACCAGCACCCTACAATTTAAGAGTTCTAAGACCTTGAGCAGGATTTTAACCTCTTGATCAATCCATTTCCTTCCCCATAAACTGGAAGTGTGGTACTCTCTTATCTACTTCAAAATATTGTTGGGAGGTTTTTAATTTAAAATGAAAGGACTTGATGAGCTATTCTCTGCAAGGCAAAGGAAAGAATTAGAAATCAAAATAGTGTAACTGGGCAGTTCCAGTGTCCTTGCTCAAAGTGATCTCCTGAGTAACAAAATTATCAAGACAAAGAAACCTGAACCTAAATTCAAGCCCAAGGCTCAGCGATTACTCTTATATTTTATCTCCAAGATTAAACAAGTAGTCTGGATTCTCAAAGCAATAACCCTCAAGAGTCAGGGCACTTATCACCCAGAGCCCAAAATTAAAGATTTAATAGGGTAAGGGTTTATTGATATCTTGGTACAAATGTTCATGTCTCATAACAGAAAAAGCAGCGTAAACTGAGCCAGACATCCTGGGGATCTTCACTAATCTTTGCTATGTATAAACATAGCCTTCTCCAGAAAGCCTGTGACATTGTCCTATCTTCACTGACTGAATCAAAGGCAAAGATTTTAAATTAACAAGAGTTTTAAATTTCTCCCTCTACCCAATACACCCACATGCACCCAAACTTTGCTTTACTGTAACTATTTCCTTATCATTTGTGGAAAGTCTTGATTAAAAAAAATGTTAATTTAACCTTTAATAGTGAAGAGCTTGAAGAGAGGGTTAAGATCTCCTTGCATCTCCTTACAATAAATATCTCTTGTTCTTACATATTATTTGATATTCAAAATTGAATCAAATTACATCAAACAAGACTACTCATTTGAAGAGGATGTTTGAAACTCTTTTAAATTTTTTTTTTGTCTTAATTCAGGCCAACTTTCCTAGGCAAATCATATTTAAAATCTGGTTTCTTTAGGGTGTAAAAAGGGATAAGTTTCCTGATGATAGGGACTTGTTTATCATTCAATCCCTAATCTTAATTAGCAAAGTTCATAATACATTGATATTCAATAAATATTTGCAGAATTAATTAATTTATAGAAAGAATGGGACAGGGGAAACAAGAAATAGAAGACAAATCAAAAAGCAATTATAACAACAGGAAGAAAATGCTGGGCTTTTAATGATCACCTAAGTGTACTACCATTTCTAAAAAATAAAATAATAAAATAAAAATAAAATCTTAGTTCTTTGCTTTTGGGTAATTTTGAATATTTGCATATTTTCCCCCCAAAAAAAGATTATCCCATGTTTTCTAATGAATTTTAATGGTTAAAGAATTGACAATTCATTTTTTTAAAAAGAGTAGGAAGAAATTTATCAGGTTATTAAGAATAATTATACATAGAAAGTAAGTTTGTGATTTAATTTTTCTCCTTTCTACTTATAGATATTTTCTAAGCTTTCATTAATGTGTATTATTTTATAATGGAAAATTATATTAAAATTTTCCTTTTTAAAAAGTGGGGCAAATTTACCATGAGCAACCTCAAAACAAGTCTGCTTGGCATATATTCAATACAAATGGCTGTTTTTATTAACATGCATATGGCTTATCAACAGATGAGGTTTTAGCTAACTATAAATTCAGCACAAATACTAAATTTAAAAGATAAGTTTAATCTTACTTGGCATATTCTTTCTTATTGTTTTTCCTGTGCAATGAATTATTTGTATACTTTTATTTTTTAATTGACACATAGTAACTGCACATACTTATGGGGCACAGTGTAACAGTCAGTTCAAGGTAACCGGCATATCTATCACCTGAGACGTTATGATTTCTTTGTGTTGGAAACATTCCAAATTCTCTCTACTAGATATTTTTCAATATCTAATTAATTGTTGTCAACCTGAGCTATCTTACTGTGCTCTCAAACATTTCCTCTGCAACAAATCCTATACTATTTTGGGAAGAAAAAAAATACAAAACAGAAATGTGTAAGTAGAAAAATGAAAGTCCTCTGTCATCCCAGATGGGAAGTAACAGTCTGTTGTATAATTTTCCAGACTGGTACCATGTATTTTACTCTACTCTTCACAAATAAAATTTCACTTTCTATTTCATATCGCAGGAACATTTTGCTACATCAATAAATTGTCATTCTTCTTTTTCTTTGAAATATTTATTGCACACAACTTCACCCATAATACCAGGAAATAAAAATTCATATAAGAATTCTAATTCCTGTTCTCCACTTACATCACCTTATGTCTTAGAAGCAGCCATTTAAACATCTTCTGATGGTACTTTTCCTAATTAATTTTTGATGTCAGATATAAGATACAGATGATTGATAAGGATTAAAATTTAAAATAATTACCTTTATAATTTGTGTTGAGCCATGAAGGATTTGTTTTGAAATTAAATGGTGCCAGGACATCCAATTCATACACCCTGAGATGTTACAAAGGAAAATGTTTACTCTGGAGACAGTTCATAATGCACATCACAGCTTTGCACACCACTATTCACATACAAAAAATATGCCATTAAGAAGCCTTCAGAATCATATGGTCATCTCATAGATGCAGAAAAAGCATTTAACATTATATTTACCCAGGTCAAGCACACTTAAAAACTTGTCAACTTGGATGGCCACCAACAAAATATGATTTTGTTCATGTTGTCTTCCTTGTCCAATTAAATTCACTTTGTCCACCAAGTGGACTTAATTGCATTTGAAGACTCAGCTGTGATCTTGGTAGTTCCTTCCACTGCATGTTGAGGGGAGAGAACTTGTACATGGAAAGAGCAGAGGGTTAGAAGCCATGAGACCTAGGTTCTAATTCTGGTGGTGTTTGAACTATGAGCGTGGACAAATCACTTAACCTCTCAGGGTTTCAGTTTCTTAACTGTAAATTGAAGAGATTAATCTCTAAGATCCCTTCCTGTCTAAAATATGAATCTATAAAATATATACTTGGACATTCTACTGTGCCCAAGTTTGTAATTATGTGCAGCTGGTCAACCAGTTAGCTGCCACCTGGAGCTTTAAGGTCCAGTTACTTCAAATTTCTCACCAATGATTCACATTAACTACAAACTGTTGAAATCTCATTCTCAGAGAGCCCTGAAGAGTCTTTCCTCTTCCCTGCTTGAGGGATAGTTTCATCATTTCCAGTGTCAGGCAGCAGCTGAGACTGTGTGTAAGCACTAGAAGCTTCCTGATTGGGTTTGCCTGCAAGCATGTTGAATAACATTCTTTCTGTTGAAAAATCTGGAATAATTATTTGGTGATATAAATTTACATTTTAAAATAGAGAGTCTTTGCTTGCCCAGTGAAATTAAAATGTATAAACACTCAATTTTTAGAAAATGATTTATAAATATCCACAATCTATTTCAAGGCAATGAATGTGTTGGCAATCTAAATTTGTAGAAAAAATTTTCAGCCATCACGACACAAAAAATCACCTGAAAAATAAACCTGATTCTTACATAGAAATGATGCCATTAAAAACAAGTGTATCATTTCATTTTGTCCTGATGATAATCCCTTTGGGGATTATTATTTCCATTTAACAAAAGAAGACACTGAAATAAGACAAACTCTATGGCTCAGTCAAAATGAGTCTGGAAATTAGTAAGAACCCATGCCAAAATGCAAATCTCCTGACTTACAGTCCAAAGCTACTTCCAGTATATGTCAGAAAATATTTATATTGGATGTAGGTTATCTTGAAGCTCATTCTACTCCAAAACTCTTCTGATTCCAAACCAGCTCAGGGAATAATAACTTAATTTTCTTTCCATGACTGTCCTAAAAGAGATAAGAACAGTCCTGCCTGTTTCTACCTACTATATTTCAAGACAGTGATAATTCTCAAGATGAAACATTTATTTTTTACTTTAAAAACAAAAGTAAAAAAATATACCATTAAACAGCCTTCAGAATCATATTGTCATCTCAATAGATGCAGAAAAAGCATTTGACAAAATATAGCAACTCTTCATGCTCAAAACACTAGAAAAACGAGGGATAGTAGGAACATACCTCAACATTACAAAAGTTATAAATGCTAAACTCAAGGCCAACATCATTCTAAATGGAGAAAAATTGAAAGCATTCCATTAAGAACTGGAACAAGACAAGGGTGCCCCATTTCACCACTTTTTTTCAACATCATTCTTGAAACTCTAGCAGAGCAATTAGACAGAATAAAGAAATTTAAGGGAATGAATAGGAAAACAAGAACTGAAACTAGTTGCCAATGATATGATTCTATATTTAGAAGATCCAAAAAATTCTACCAGAAAAATTCTAGAACTAATTAATGAATTCAGCAAAGTAACAGGATATAAAATCAATTCCCATAAGTCAAATGCATTTCTATACATCAGTAATGAATCCTCTGCAAGAGAAATTAGGAAAACTACCCCATTCACAATAGCCTAAAAAAAATACTTGGGAATCAATCTAACAAAAGAGGTGAAAGGCCTCTACAATGAAAATGACAGAACACTAAAGAAAGAAATTGAAGAAGACCTTAGAAGATGGAAAGATCTTCCATGCCCTTGGATAGTCAGAATTAATATTGTGAACATAGCCATACTACAAAAATTGTTATATAGATTTAATGCAATTCCTATTAAAATTCCAGTAACATTCTTCATAGAACTAGAAAAAGCAATATGAAATTCATTTGGAAAAATCAAAGACCCAGAATAGCCAAAGCAATCCTTAGCAAGAAAAGTGAAGCAGGAGGCATCACAATACCAGACTTTAAACTGTACTTTAGAGCCACAGTAACAAAAACAGAATGGTATTGGCACCAAAATAGACATTCAAACAAATGATACAGAATAGAGGCCACAGAGACAAACCCACATAAATACAGTTACTTCATACTAGACAAAGGGACTAAAAACATTCATTGGGGAAAAGATAGCCTCTTCAACAAATGGTGCTAGGAAAATTGGAAATCCATATGTAGCAAAATAAAATTAAAACTTATCTCTCACCCTGCACAAAAAAATCAACTCAAAGTGGATCAAAGACTCAGGCATTAGAAGAGAGACCCTGTTCCTAATAGAAAACAAAGTAGGCCCAAATCTTCACCATGTCAGCTTTGGAACTGACTTCCTTAACAAGACTCCTAAAGCACAAAAAGTAAAATCAAGAATCAATAAATAAGAAGAAACTAAAAAGTTTCTTCTCAGCAAAGGAAACAATCAATAATGTGAAGAGAGAGCCTACAGAATGGGAGAAAATCTTTACCACATGCACCTCAAATAGAGCAATAATCTCCAGGATATATAAAGAACTCACAAAACTTAACACCAAAAAAACAAATAACCTGGGCGAGGGCTGTAGCCCAGTGGCAGAGCACTTGCCTTGCTCATGTGAGGCCCTGGGGCCAATCCTTAGCACCACATAAAAATAAGTAAGTAGAATAACGGTGTTGTGAAAAAAAATTAAATAACCCAATCAATAAATGGGCTAAGGATCTGAACAGATACTTCACAGATGAAGAAAAACAATCGTTCAACAAATATATAAAAAAATGTTTAACATCTCTAGCACAATTAGAGAAATACAAATCAAAACTACACTAAGATTTCATCTCACTCTAGTCAGAATGGCAATCATCAAGAATACAAGCAATAATAAATGTATACTTATACATTACTGGTGGGATTGCAAATTGATATAACCACTATGGAAAGCAGTATGGAAATTCCTCAGAAAACTTGGAATGGAACCACCATTTGACCCAGTTTTACTTCTCCATTGTGTATACCAAAAGGACTTAAAATCAGCATAGTATAGTGACGAGGTCACAACAATGTTTTTAGCAGTTTAATTCAGAATAGCCAAACTGTGGAACCAAAGTAGGTGTCCTTCTACAGATAAATGGATAAAGAAAATGTGGTATTTATACACAATGGAATATTACCCAGCCTTAAAGAAGAATGAAATTATGGCATTTGCGGATAGATGGATGGAGCTGGAGAATATCATGCCAAGTGAAAAAAGCCAGTTCCAAAGAACTAAAGGCAGAATGTTTTCTCTGATAAGCAGATGCTAATTCACAATGAGGGGTGGGTAGGAAAGAATAGAGGTACTTTGGGATGGACAGTGGGGAGTGAAGGGAAGGGACGGTGTATGGGTAGGAAGTACAGTGGAATCAACTGGATATTATTACCCTATGTGCATGTATGACTGCACAACTGGAGTAATTATACATCACATATAACAAGAAGAATGAGAAGTTATACTGCATTTATGTATAATGTGTCAAAATGCATGTATAACTAATTAGAAACAAATTTTAAAAGATCCAAACTATATGAGGGCTTATTTCCTCAGCTAAACAAGGATACTGTTGCTCTGCATGCATGTTTTCTTTTCTTTTCTTTTTATTTTTAACATACTCTAAAATTTTGTAAACAAGTTTCCAACATTTAAAACCCATGTTATGATCACAACACTTTTGATAAATTGTTAAGCTACAAAAAAAAGAAACCTTCATTCCCTTGTCCACAGAGACATTTCAAATATTAAATACCAACTCCTTTTATATTTGATGATAACTTTTTAATTAAAGAGAACATGCTACTTACTGTAGTGTCAGGCAGCACATGCTCAGAGACACATAGTACACAGAGTAGAACAGGATGAGGCATGTAATAAGGTTCTGTAGAACAACCTGTGGAGAAGACAAGCATGTGGTCCCAGAGCTGTTTCCTATGGTTGTCATTAGTGACTCTGACAAACAAAATATCATGAATGGATTCTACATAGTGCTGGCCAGCCTTGGGTTGGATGGGGACTCATGAGGTGGGAATGACTTCAGAGTGCAAAATGAAAGCATTTCTGATCAAAGAGGCTGGCAGAGTATGTACATTTGTACCAAGGATTAATTCAGTACACAAATCCATATCATTACCCTCCGTCCACCAGGACAAATTTCCTAAATACCAACACCTATATCTTAATTTGATTAATTTATTCCAAATGTCAGCTAAAATAGTAATAAAAATAGGAAAGCTGGTAAGAAGTTTGGAAGTGAAAAAAAAAAATCCACAGAATAATACGGTGATTAAGTCTGTATGTAAGAATTTCCAGAGCAATTGGCTGAATCACAATAGATGATCCTGAAATGGACTCTTCCTCATCTGAGCCTTAATAAGCAAGCACATTAATGGAGACCAGCTGGATTACTCAACAAAGGTGGTGTGAAAATTGTCTGACCTCTAAATAGAAAAAATCCCATTAGATTCTGGTCTTATGTCAGATACCAAAATCAATTTCAAATGGATTAAAGACTTACTGCTAAAAAAGAGGTTGGGAGAAAATATTTGCAACATATATATCATAGGCAAAGGATTGATATCTATAATATATAAACTCATACAAATAAAAAAGCAAACAAACCAACAGGAAAAAAAATGAGCAAAGAATATAAATATATCAGTATCTCATGTGAAGAAATACTTAAAAAGCCAGTAGAGAATCAAAAGCATACTGAACTTCACTATTAATCTTGCAAAATATATTCTTATGAATAAAACAAAATGTCAGTATTTTGCACAGGAATTATTAGATTTATTTTGTTCACTTTTGAATCTTTTTTAAAGTCTTTTTTGTTTAGCCAACACTCTTTAACACTTTAGGATTATTCATTTTCTCTGAATGACCAGTTCATCAAATTCACAAGTTCTTGAATAGTTTGGGGTGCAGACGATGCTCTCCACCAGAGGCAAGAGAAGGTCATTAGCACACAGCACACCACATCCAGGTGCCCGAATAAACCACATTTTTACAGATTTACCAAGAATTTACTTCTTTTGACTACTTAAAAATGGGTGAACTGGTGGTGCTAAAGGTGTGGTTCAGTGGTAGATGCTTGCCTAGCACACCACGCAAGGTATTTTCCCTCCCTACAAAATAAATAAATAAACAAACAAACAAATAAATAAAGGGGTGAACTGTCAGAGCCAAGAGGACTGTGGGAATCCAGGACTGTCAGACACTGGGATCTTCAGCATCTTCCCACACCTCACCCACCAGCATCCTCACTCCTCTTAGTCTCTGTTGTATAATCTCTTTCTCCCCACCCCTCATTTTAATCTCCCCCCTTTTCCTTTAGAATCTCCATATTTTACCTTTTAATCTCCCCTCCCTCAGGTTCCTCAGCTTCCCTTCCCTCATTTCTTTATTTTCTCTGTCCTCTTTATCTCCCTAAGACCTGAATAGCCTTGTGGTTCCATCATGGCTGACACTAAACATTTTAAAAGAAGATGTAAAAGAATGTGGGCTGGGGCTGTAGCTCAGTGGCAGAGTGCTTGCCTGGCATGTATGAGGCACTGGGTTAGATTCTTAGCACCACGTAAAAATAAATAAAATAAAGACATTCTATACATCTACAAGTACAAAAAAATCTTTTAAATGGGTGTAAGAGTCTCTTTTCTTTTATTAGAAAATAAAAATTCCTTCCTAGAAGTCCCCATCAGGCTTCCCATTTTACTACATTGACCATCACCATGCCAGGTGCCCATGGACTAAACAATCACAGGCAAAGAGTCGGAGGGAGCTGCCAGGATGGGTTTGTAGTATTGTGACTTTGCTCCTAGGGATGGACAGCTACTGCCTCCATAAAATGAAAATTGAAGTTCTATTAGCAAGGCAAAAGTAATAGGCATGGGTAACTAGTAGTGTCTTCCAAATGGAGGAATAAAAATGTAAAGGGCTAAAAGCCCTCATTTTGTAGCGATTATTCAGAGCTCAGGAGAAAATGTGAAATCTTTATCTGAGATGAAGGTTCAAACGTGCTCACGAATAAACCTAATTTCTTTCCAAGTGTTGGGAAGAGAATCTGCTGATGTGAGATGGGTATGTAACACGGAGAGGCTTCTTCAGCCTTATAATTTTCTTAAGAGTCCTGGGTCTTTGGGTTTCCTTTGCTCTTTATGCTACGTATTAATATTAGTTTTTCTTTTAATTTGAGCACTAATATCTATAAGTTGAAATTTTTCCAGGTAATTGGCTTATTTTAATTCGAAATAAGATGAGTAACATATAGTCTCTGCACCAAGACATACTTTCAAACAAAACTATTTTTATTTCTATATTAATATTGAACTTTAAATGTTATTTTAATTCTTAAACACACAATTGTTGTAAAATTTTACTTTTATAATCCAGAGAATTGTGCTACATACATAGAAAACTCACAAATACTAAATCTGTTCAAGATTTTAGAACTGTTTTTGAAAATTTAGTCATAATTTGTGAGAGAATATATTTATTAATGATTTCATATATACATGCCTACTTTTTGCAACAAATTCATAAAACACTACATAAAATATGATGTTAAAATAATACATTTAAGATAAGTTTACAAGGAATGTTTTTAAAAGGAAAACATATTTTTTGTAAATAATTACTTTTTTCTACCTGAACTGTAAATCCAGATTTTCAAGTGATAATTTTTCAATACCCAAATTCACTTCCCTGGAGTTACTTCTCCCTCCATCTAATTCAACCCAACCTATAGAACTAACCTTCTAAAAGTCACACAATGGCATTCCCCTGCTTGCTGTCCTTTTGTGGCCCCACACTATTGTCAGTATTCATTCAATCATTTTTTTTTTCCTATTTTACAAATGGTCACTGAGCTGGGCACCAATGCGAGATGAATTAAATTATAGTCCCAGCCATGGAGCTCTGCTCTAATAGTCATTCTCAAAAGCACAAGTTTCAGTCTCACATTGAGGACCTGTTAAGATGCAGATTGTCTCAGAGTTTCTGATTTAGTAGGTTGGGATGGGCCCCAGGAATCTGCCTTGCTACTAGGGATGTTTGGTCTGCTGTTCCTGTGACCACACTTTGAGAGCTACGCGGATCCAGAGGCAAGAACGATGAGTAAACAGATGGCTAAAATACAGAAAGAGGAGCTATGGTTGAGGGATGTTCAGAATGCTGTCAAAGCCCAAGGGAGAAACCAGGGGAGGATACATAGTGTGTGGGTACTGTGAGGGCACACATATTTTTCCAGGAAATGTTCAACAGTAACATTTATCATAGGTTTACAATATATCAGGAACCATTTGTACAATACAGTACTTCATTTGTTCCTTACAACAAATGAGTGGCAGATTCTATCAGTATTCCTTTCTCAGCGAGAATAAAAATGAAGCTCAGAGATATTTAGTGACTTTTTCAGTTTGACAATAAATTGTAGAGCTAGGACTCAAATCTTGCTATTTGTGATGAACTGGGGCGGGGGTGAGGGGTTGCTACAGGCAGGAGAAGCACTTGTGAAGACTTGACTGAAGCTAAGCTGAAGGGGAGGTAAGAGTATTTAAAGAGTTGAGGTCAGTTGTGAAGGGAATTTTATGCCTTGATGAAGAATTCTGAATGTCTCTAAAGGCCACAGGGAGACTGCACGATTGAAGGAGTTGTATGGATCCCAGGGGCCATTAGGTAAGGAAGCATTTAAATGGGATTTTAATAACCTAGGCAAGCAGGGGAGCTGGAAAAGAGGGCAGATGCATAAGCTACTAAGGAAACAGAACAGACAAGTGGCCCATGTTAAGGGACACAGGGTCATTGATTATATCTCCCAACTTGCTTAACTAGATGAACAGTAAGAAAAAGAACAAGATCCATTTCGAATGGTAGGAATGGCAATTGTTGATCTAACCCAGGGCTCTCTGAAGGAAATGTAATGCAAGCTGCACATATAATTTTAAAATTTTTCTATCAGCCACATTCCTAAATGTTTCAAAAGTGTGAAATTGATACTTATTTAACCCAATATATCCAACATATTATAATTTCAGCATGTTCTAAAAACTAACAATTATTGAGATATTTTTTGTCATCTGTCAAACTGTGTCTTAGAGCTCCAGAGTGCATTTTACCAGAACACAGCGCAGCTTCAATGAGCCATATTTCAAGAGCTCAGTTGCCCCATGTGGCTAGTGAAGACCATATTGAACAACATAGGTCTAAGCTCTGCTGACCCCTCATCTCCTGCTCTAATTTCTTTAACCACTGTCTAATCATATTAACTGCTTATTGAGGGGTTACTATGTAACAATCCCTGGACTCACATTTTCTCATTTTATTTGGCCCTCTCTATAGCCTACTACTATTTTTCCTTTTTATTTATTTATTTTTATTGTTTAATTTGTTCTAATTAGTTATAATTGACAGTGGAAAACTATATACATACATAAAAAGAAACTGTCTAGGTTTGGTTGACTATTGCCTTCATTTCATAGATTCAGAAACCAAGGTAAAGAGAAGTTAAGAAACTTATTCCAGTTCATGTGGCCTGTATGTGGTGGCAGGGCTCTAGCCCAAACCTTCTGGATGTCAACCCTCTTCTTAACCTTGTGCTAGCCTGCCTCCCACTTGGAAAGTTTAAAACTTTAATACTATGTTGAACAATCAATTCTATTGCAACACATTCTTTTTAATAGGATTTCAGAAATGAGAACTTAAGTTGAGCTAATGGTTCAATGGCATACTTTTGTTTAGTGGCAGAATTGAGATCAGGAAAAAAAATTGTATCAATTACCAAAGGAAAGGCACTTAGCAATGCTGTCTAAATGACAGAACACATGACTTCATTATGATATAAATATCATTATGGCACTCTAGGAAAATCCAATAAATGTGAATCAGACTTCATAG